TGTTCTGAGAGTGCAGGGTGGATTATGCGGGGAGAGGCTATTAGTTGATAGGTTTATACATGCTAGGAAATGGGGAAAGGGCATGGAAAGAAATGCCCTTTTGTACCAATTTGAATTTGGCCAGGAGAAATGTGTGGCTATCAATATAATTTGAGTCCAGATTTTTACGTGTCAGTGTGGCATAAATGGGATGAAATTGTGCAAAGTACTGTGCAGTAGATCTGGATGATTTTTCTGAAACGGATTCAGCCACAACTAGACCAAATCACTATTTTTGCTAAGTACTTAGTTTCTAAAGGTGCAGTTCCATGTTCACTGACTTCTTTGGAATCACTATGTATTGAAATATAAATTTCCAAAAGTAACTATGACCAAAATTTACAAATGGTTAACAACTCAATTTATGGTGAGGGATTGGATGTGAAACATGGAAAAAGACATAGCAATACAAATTTCAGACAACAACTAGTCTCGTATTTGGACCTCTTCACCCTTTAAGTCTAAATCTGCTCTCATCAAAGAATAGTGCTTGAGCTTATCTATAAATAGTATTTAACCCCTGTGAAACTAGCTAGATTTGTAAAGGACGTTACCCCAGTATATTGGAGGGGTGGTGGCTTAAAGGGTACTTATATACATAGGTGGATTGATTACCCCATTGTACAGGCTTTTTAGACTCAAACCAGGTATCCATAATAACTAAGCAAGCAGTTCATTACTATAAGTGTCTTATGTTATTATGTCTCTTTGTTAAGGACAAGAAATTACAGTATAAAGAAGTTACTTTCCTTCTGGTTGCTGCTCAAAAGACAGTTGTGAAACACTGGAAACAAACTTTAATCCCCATGGAAGATTGGTGGGAAAAAGTTTGAGATCTTACTTTTGGAAAAATTATCACACTGCATGAAAGTAATTAAAGGACTTGTTAGTAGTGACACTTTTATAAAATCTTGGTCTCCCTTTATAGTCTACATCAGTAATAATGATAGTACCTTTCTTCCACCTATCCATCAAACCCTCTTCTGGAAGGGTGGTTTTTGGTGTGCAGATACCTCTGATGTCTTGCCTTTGGACATATCATGACAAGACAGGATTTATTAGAAAAGATTATAATGTGAAGTTGAAGGTTTTCACGGCTGGCATCCATAGTTTTTTGTGGGGTTTTCAGGCTGTGAGGCTGTGTTATAGAAGAATGTATTCCTGACATTTTGCTTGCATCTGTGGCTGGCGTCTTCAGAGAAATGTGTTCTCTGAAGATGCCAGCCACAGATGCAGGCAAAACATCAGGAATATATTCTTCTAGAACACATCCTCACAGCCCGAAAACCCCACAACAACCTAAAGATGATAACGCATGATAAAGATGGGGGGCTGTAGAAAAAGAGGAAAACCACATTACAGGTGGATAGACTCAAAGAATCCATGGCCCTGAGTTTGCAAAGTCTGAGCAGGGCTGTTAATGATGGAGTGACTTCGATGTCTTTCATTCATGTGCTTATCAAAAGACAAAGTTGACCTGGTGGCAGTTGACTACAACAACAAAAATGAGGAAATAAAATTCTACACTGCTAATTGCAACACTCCACTCCTGTTGGTTTAGATATCTATTCATTTAATTGCCTCCCATTTTATATTTCTGCATAGCCCATATATATATTTTCCCCAATTAAATTCTAGTTTTATGAAAAAGCCGCTGGTTTATATCACTATCTAAATAAGATTACTTCAGTGCTGGAAACTGCAACACTTTTAGAAGCAGCTCTTCCTTCTTACCTCAAAGTATAGAGAACACATTGTGTGTTGTATCTTGTGGATAGAGCAAAAGAGCATTGTGTTGATGTAATTTAAGGTAAATGAAGTACATCATTAAAGTATTGAATGAAGATGTATTAGAAGTTATTTTGAGAAAAAATACATATAATATCATCTGTAGATTTAGCATTATGATTTAGGTTAGAGGCAATTATTGTTAATTATTTTACAATCCTTTTAAATTGCTCTAAAATGCTTATCTCACTTTACCATCACAACAAGAACCCTGTGGGGCAAGTTAGGGGAAAATAGAGATGCAATCCAATGAGTTTTTCAGCAGGCAGAAGCTTGTACCTGAATGAGAAGATCTCCAATATACAATGACAATCAGGAATAAATTAGTTTTGTTTGGCTCATTTTTTCATAACAACCTTTTATAAAATGTCCCTGTTGCTTCATAAATCCAATAGAAAGAACCAGAGATTTTAAAAATTCAGAGGTGCGGTGGAGAGGCATGCAGAGGAGATGCTCAGGACATAAAAGTCTGGCTGTCAATCATTTCTATTCAACTTCTTTGTGCTGCTAAATTAGGTTGCCAGTTTTTTTCTTCCTGAGCAACTCCCCATTCCTACCATGTATGGGTGTGAGCACTGGACAAGAAAGAAGATAGGAGGGAAATCAACTCATTTGAGATAATATGGTGGTGGAGAAGAGTGCTGAGGATCCCATGGACAGCCAAAAGGACAAACAAATGGGTCCTAGAGCAGATCAAGCAAGAAATATCCCTAGAAACCAAGATGACCAGACTTAGACTATCATACTTTGGACACATCATGAGAAGGCATGAATAATTGAAAAAGACAATAATGTTAGGAAAGGTGGAGGGAAGTAGAAAGAGAGGAAGGCCACATGCTGGATGGATGGACTTTGTTAAAGAGACCACGAATGTGAGTTTTCATGAGCTGGGCAGAGCAGTAGAGGACAGGGGGGCCTGGAGATGTCTCATCCATAGGGTTGCCATGGGTCAAGATAGATGCAAAGGCAGTTAACAACAACAAAAATGTGGCAGGCAGGTATAACATCTCCTCTCCTCACTGGGAACACCTGTACCTATAGAACATGGCCAGTGGAGATTATTAAGAATATTGTTTGGTTCATTTTTGAACATTCTTCATAAGCAATGGAAATTATTTGAGATTTTTCTTCAACAAGTGAAGCCTGGAGAAAGTGAAGCTGGCCAATTTATCCATCCTTAGTCATAACACTTGCTGTTCACAGTGCCTTTAGTGTCATATTGTCTAGATTTGCCAGTCTGTTTTTCCTAATTGTCCCATCTGGACATTTTAGCTGAAATTCAGAAATAGACTGTGTAAGTTTTCTAGTTCATGCCTTCCTCATCATTCAGCATAAAAATTCTACAATAGTAACTTGAGAAAATCTTGCTTGTTTTTTTTAAAGGTTCTTCATTCTCCTTAAGCACTATTGGTTTGGAAATACTAAAACATATTAACAATTCTGGGAGGAGGTCAGAAAAGGAGTCAGTGTGCCATTTAACATAGTAATTTGTTGATTCTAGCTACAATTTAAGCCTTTAGCACTCAGCACTCAGGATGTCTGTATTCTGCTCTCAAACAGCTGGCTCTGCCTGTTCTGAATCCCAAAAGGCAATAAGGATGGGATCATTACCCACTGTAGCTTAACTTGACAGTAACCCTGAATTTCCTTTCATTCCACTCCCAGCATCATTTGAAACATTTCTCTGTTATGTGTTCTCAGCTGCTTATGTTTCATGTACAAACGGAGACAAATATTTGAAAAGGAATCATCAGCTCAAGTCTATTCTGATTCTGGGATGTATGTGTTTCTTCTTAGAAGTAATATTCCTCTGATGGATTGCAAATTTAAAACATTGCACTGGGATTTAAAAATCTAGTTGGATTTGACAAAAAAGATCCATAAACCAGAACAATGTGAGAGAGCAAACCTGTGAAAGCACATAATTTTTACTTGGAAATCCATGTGATTTGGAAACAGTGAAGTAGAATTAATGCTTCCCTGATTCCATGGGGAATTTATGTGTGCGAGGGCTACCTATTTCTATAAAATGACTGAATAAAGATGTGTGAATCAAAGTTCTACTTCATATTATCAACAGAATCAAGTCATAGGGCCTTTACAGATGGCCATTTCAGGCGGCTCTTGGCTAGCGGCAGATCAGGTCAATGGCAACCCCATGCCGCGCCCCAATTCTTCCTTTTGCCACCCCTAAAAGAGCAACAAAATGGTTCTCCTTTTAGGGTCAGCAAAAGGCTGCCCTAAGAACCGGCACCGCAGCTCTTCCACGTCCTTTCAGTGCAACGGGTCTACACGCTGCACCGGGAGGGCATCCTGACGCTGCGCACCATGCAAACAGGCGCGTGGCGTCTGGACAGCATCGGGGTGGGGTTGGGGCAGCTGGAGTGCACTGCCCCACCCCAACTTCACCCCCAGGATGGCCATTTAGGCTGGTCTGCAACACCCCATAATGCTTTGCCTACTACACCATATTGCTTCAGACTCAACTTGGAAATCAAAATGGAAGAAAAACACAACTTTTCCCCTATGGAAAGGGAATCACATATAAGAAAGAAAATTTAGCCAAACCTTTGCTAACATCTTCAGCAGTTCATTCAGTAGTTAGACA